CCTTCTCCTCCCCCAGGACCACCCCCCATCTCCCTGTCTCACCTACCCCATGACCCTGATTATGGGTGGCCCTGAGGGTCCTGGAGGGTGTCCCCGGGCTGTCCCCAGGGTGTGACCCCCCTGTCCCTCCAGGGCCGCCCCGCCCCCCTGCAGTCCCAATTCCGTCTCACCTACCCCATGATCCTGGGGCTGCTCCGGGCTCAGGCCCTGCGGGTGCAGGATGTGATGAGGAGCAGCTTCGCCGAGTTCCCCCTGCGCAGGGATGCCCCGGTGAGGGGGGCTGGGGGAGCGCTGGGGGGACACAGGGACCCTAGGGCCGCTGGAACCATGAGGGACGTTTGGGACATTGAGGACACTGGAGCCATGGGGGTCATTGGGGATGCTGTGGACATTGGAGCCATGGGGGACACTGGGGATGCTGTGGACATGGGGGACACTGGGGACATGGGGGATGCTGGTTGATGGGATGGGCATTGGGGGCAATATTTGGGACATCGGGGACATGGAAGATGGAGAATGTTTGGGACAGGGGGAACATGGTGGATATAGGGGATAGGGGGGCTTGGGGGACGTTCGGTCGTGAGGTGAACATTGGGGATAATTGGGACATGAGGGGACATGGAAGATGGGGGAGGGGATGTTGGGGACGCAGGGACATTGGGGACAGGGAGGACATTGGAGGATGTTGGGTCATGGGGTGGACATTGGAGACAATACTGGGGACATGGGGGCAAATATGGGGGGAAATGGAAGACAGGGTAGGTTGGGGACAGGGGATACTGGATCATGGGGCAGACATTGGGGACAATATTGGGGACAGAGGGGACATGGAGGACATTGAGGGATGCGGGGGACAGGGAGAACTTGGGGGACATTGAGGGTGACATTATGGACATGTGGGGATATTATGGATCTGGGGGATCCCGGTGTGGAACCGGGGGCCACTGAGGGACACCAGGTCCCCCTGCCCTGTCCCGCCTTGTCCCCCCTGTCCCCAGGTGCAGCAGCGCCGGGTGGCCGAGCTGCGGGCGGCGCTGG